AACAGAGCGGTCATTTCGAGGAGGATTTTAACGATGGAGAAGATACAGCGATGGAGGAGAGCTATGAATTTAGTCGGAAATATCCCTGGATTTGTTTGCACGTAGGGACTCCATATCTCATCCATCTCTTGATTTGTAAATCATGTAGTAGAATTGAATTTTGGATGTGGCTGCTTGCTTTTTTGTTTTAAATTCTCTGGTGGTGGTTTTTGCAACTTTGCAGAAAACCTACTGATGAAGATGTCAAGGCTGGCAAAAACGGAGAGAAAGTGGATGAACTGATAGGGCTGGTGGTGAAAAGGGTTTTAGCTCAAGTGAGGAATACACCAGAGAAAGTGGCAGACTACATTGTTGGGCTGGAATCTTGTGTGGAGGATTTGGTCAAGCTGCTCAACTTTAAATCCACTTCTGGCGTTCAAATCCTGGGGCTTTATGGTATGGGTGGTATTGGCAAGACGACCCTAGCAAAATCCTTCTATAATAAGATCATTGTCAACTTCAAGCATCGAGTTTTCATCGAAAGTGTTAGGGAAAAATCATCAGACCAAGATGGTTTAGTCAATCTACAAAAAACTCTCATCAAGGAACTTTTCGGTTTGGTACCTGAAATAGAGGATGTTAGCAGAGGCCTGGAAAAGATAAAAGAAAATGTTCATGAGAAGAAGACTATTGTTGTTTTGGATGATGTTGATCACATAGACCAGGTTAATGCGCTGGTTGGTGAAACAAAATGGTATGGTGAAGGAAGTCTTATAGTCATCACTACAAGAGATTCTGAGATTCTGAGTAAGCTCTCAGTGAACCAACAGTATGAGGTCAAGTGCTTGACTGAGCCGCAGGCGTTGAAGCTCTTTAGTTTTTATTCACTACGAAAAGAAAAACCACCAACACAGAGTTTATTGGAGTTGTCCAAGAAGATTGCCGAGGTGACGGGACTGTTGCCACTGGCTGTTAAAGTGTTTGGTTCTCATTTGTATGACAAGGACGAAAACGAATGGCCAGTTGAACTAGAGAAGCTGACAAATACCCAACCAGACAAACTTCACTGTGTTCTGGCTCTGAGTTTCGAATCTTTAGACGATGAAGAAAAGAAAATATTCCTCGACATTGCATGTCTCTTTCTCAAAATGGAAATAACAAAAGATGAACTTGTCGACATACTGAAAGGATGTGGGTTTAACGCCGAGGCTGCTCTCCGTGTTCTTATACAGAAATCTCTCGTTACAATCATGACAGACGATACGCTGTGGATGCATGATCAGATCAGAGACATGGGTAGGCAGATGGTCCTTAGAGAATGCAGTGATGATCCTGAAATGCGGAGTAGACTCTGGGATCGTGGTGAAATAATGAACGTATTGGACTATATGAAGGTTATTTATATCTATATCTACAGTTATATATCAATTGTATTTGACTTGCATACTCATGATCTGTTTTTTTCCCTGTAATGGAATGACAGGGAACATCATCCATCCGAGGAATCGTGTTTGATTTCAAAAAGAAGTTTGTGAGGGACCCTACTGCAGATGAAATTGTCTCGAGGAATCTACGCAACAATCCAGGTATCAACTCTGTGTGCAATTACCTGAGGAATATATTTATAAGATTTCCAGCAGAAGAAAAGCCAAAAAGGTCTGAAATCACCATTCCCGTTGAGCCTTTTGTACCAATGAAGAAGTTGAGACTTCTTCAGATTAATAACGTGGAACTGGAAGGAAATCTTAAACTTCTCCCATCTGAACTCAAGTGGATACAGTGGAAAGGTTGCCCCTTAGAAAATCTTCCTCCGGATATTCTTGCTAGGCAACTTGGTGTTCTTGATCTTTCAGAGAGTGGAGTAAGACGAGTCCAGACTTTGCGCAGCAAAAAGGTAAGCTTTCTTATTTCCAATAGCATGGGGAGTTATATAGTTTCAAGTTAGAGTTTCACTGCTAAAATAATCCTTTCTGCTTTTCAGGGGGATGAGAACCTGAAAGTTGTAAATTTGCGTGGTTGCCACAGCTTAGAAGCCATTCCTGATTTATCAAACCATATTGCCTTAGAAAAGCTTGTTCTTGAGCGATGCAACCTTCTGGTGAAGGTTCATAGATCAGTTGGTAATCTGGGAAAATTGCTTCAGCTGGACCTCCGAAGGTGCTCAAGTCTTTCTGAATTTCTTGTGGATGTTTCTGGACTGAAGTGTCTTGAAAAACTTTTCCTCACTGGCTGTTCAAATCTGAGTGTGTTACCAGAAAACATTGGTTCCATGCCACTTTTGAAAGAGCTTCTTCTTGATGGAACTGCGATAAGTAACTTACCGGACTCTATTTTTCGCCTCCAAAAGCTTGAAAAGCTTAGTCTTATGGGTTGCAGGTCTATTCAAGAGCTACCTTCGTGCATAGGAAAATTGACATCGCTGGAAGATTTATATCTTGATGATACTGCATTGCGAAACCTTCCGATTTCTATTGGAGATCTTAAAAATCTCCAGAAGCTGCATCTGATGCGCTGCACGTCCCTTTCTAAGATTCCCGACAGTATCAATAAGCTCATATCATTGAAGGAATTATTCATCAACGGAAGCGCGGTGGAGGAGCTACCTCTAGACACTGGCTCACTGCTATGTTTGAAAGACCTCTCAGCAGGAGATTGCAAATTTCTGAAACAGGTTCCGAGTTCAATTGGTGGATTAAATTCTCTTCTCCAACTTCAGTTGAATGGCACCCCAATTGAAGCTCTACCAAAAGAGATTGGTGCCTTGCATTTTATACGCAAACTTGAGTTGATAAACTGCAAATTTCTGAAGCGTCTGCCTAACTCAATCGGAGATATGGACACACTCTATAGCTTAAACCTTGTAGGATCTAACATTGAGGAACTGCCGGAAGATTTTGGCAAGCTGGAAAACCTAGTTGAACTGCGAATGAGCAACTGTAAAATGCTAAAGAGGCTTCCTAAATCGTTTGGAGACTTGAAATCTCTTCACCGTCTGTACATGCAGGAAACTTCGGTCGCAGAGTTGCCAGATAATTTCGGAAACCTCTCAAATTTAATGGTACTGAAAATGCTGAAGAAGCCTCTTCGTAGAAGTTCTGAGAGTGAAGCTCCAGGTACAAGCGAAGAACCTCGTTTTGTAGAATTACCACACTCTTTTTCAAACCTCTTGTCGCTTGAGGAACTAGATGCTCGCAGCTGGAGAATATCTGGTAAAATGCGGGATGATCTTGAGAAGCTTTCGTCTTTGATGATACTGAATCTGGGGAATAATTATTTTCACAGTCTTCCATCTAGTCTTGTGGGGTTATCAAATCTCAAAGAACTTTTATTGTGTGACTGCCGGGAGCTCAAGGGTCTTCCCCCTCTTCCGTGGAAACTGGAACAGCTAAACCTGGAAAACTGCTTTTCATTGGACAGTATATTCGACCTTTCCAAGCTAAAGATCTTGCATGAGCTCAATCTCACAAACTGTGTGAAAGTGGTTGATATTCCAGGCCTAGAGCACTTGACGGCTCTGAAAAAATTATACATGAGCGGCTGTAACTCCAGCTGCTCCTTTCCAAGAGAAGACTTCATACACAATGTAAAGAAAAGACTTTCTAAGGTGATTCCAAAAATTCCACAGAATCTCAATAAGTTGAATCTCAGGGTCTGTTAAAAACTTGCTTTTCTCATTGCAGGCTTCTTTGAAAATGCTACGGAATCTGAGCTTGCCTGGAAACAGGGTCCCGGACTGGTTCTCACAAGGCCCTGTCACATTCTCAGCTCAACCGAACAGAGAGCTCAGAGGTGTAATCCTTGCTGTTGTTGTGGCTCTTAAGCATAAAAAGGAAGATGACGAGTACCAGCTGCCTGATGTGTTGGAGGTTCAAGCCCAAATTCATAAACTTGATCATCACATATGCACCCACACATTGCAGCTCTCTGGAGTGCCTAGAAAAAGTGATGATCAACTCCACATCTGCCGATACTCAGGTTTTCACCCATTGGTTACGATGTTGAAAGACGGGTACACCATACAGGTGATCAAACGAAACCCACCAATCAAAAAAGGTGTTGAGCTAAAGATGCATGGGATTCATCTAGTTTACGAGGGGGATGATGATTTTCCAGATAAAGAAGATACAATAACCGAGACTTATTTAACCGTGTCTCAGAAACTTGCCAATTTTTTCACCTCTTTCGAAGAAGGTGAAGCCAGCTCAGAAGGTGCTGCTACATGATCTGCTACCACAGAGAAGTTAAGAAACTGCACAAAAACAATCTTTCAATACAAACTGTTTGTTGATCATATAGCGTGTGTGCTTCTGTAAACTTTTTCCTTCTAGGATGTTTAGTTGTTTATTTACACCTTTGCTTCTATAATCAATAAAAAACCCAAAAAGAGGAGACCCTTGTTTCCCACAAGTCTGTGCAATTTTAAAATGTTCAAAGGATTTGTGAAGACTTGGTTAACAAATCCAAAGAATTCAACATTACCTTTGCTATATATCATACTTTCATACTGACTCCATTGTAGCAGATAAAGCTTTACATAAAACCGAGAGTCCAAGTGTCCCGCTCGATATTAAGTATATGTTGATTTGAGATTTAAATCACTCAATACAAAAAATGACTTTCACAACTTGTAATAGTAGTAACAAGAAGAGAGTAACAGATTGTCAAAGGAAATGGTGACAAGACGATAGCATTATTCAAAGATGAGAAGTGGGGTCGAATTTCATGTGTCTATGCTCAGGCGAGACGCAGACATCTCTAGATCCGCCTTCAAACATACCGTTTCTTTTAACTCTCTTGTCTTCTTATAAGACCAAACCCCACATCTCATCCAAAAGATATCATCACAACAACACAACAAATTATGCATTGACCCTTTTGACCATCAAAGATAAAATCAACAGTCAATAAAACATTCTTCAATGATTCAACTCCAAGGCATAGAGCCGTTTAGAACTAAAAAAAAATAAACTAAATGGCAAAGTAGGAGAGCAAGAAGAACTTGTTAGCTTTTGTGCATATAATTATGAAATAAGACAGAAATCTTCTCATTTCATCAGAAGAGGTTACATTCCAAAGAGTACATTGATGAGCCAAACAATGTACAGAATTATACGGTAGGAAGATACAAGACAAACACGAGCACCGACACGGTTAAAAACTAACAACAGTGGGGGGAAGGAACAAAGAATGAGATATAAAGAAAGAAAAAAAGTTTTTGATACAAAGTAGATTTCTCATACCTTTTTAGCGCTTAAGCTGCCAAAAAGACTACTTTCTGGTAAGATACTTAAAGTTCTTGTTTGTTGAAGACCAGTGGAAATTCATCGTAATGCTCAGAAACACCGTGTTTATCTGCCATGCTCTTCAAAGATTCATACACCTGAATCATCGTTGGCCTTTCTTTAGGCCTGGACACAACACAGCTACATGCGATTTTCAAGAACTGCAATATCTCCTCATCGTGTCCTTTATCACATATGCTTCTATCAATAGCGTCTTTGCTTCTACCAGTCCCCAAATACTGACTCACCCAGTCAACTAAACTCCCTTTAAACCCTTCCACACCGTTAATAACAGACAAAGGCTTTTGCCCTGTAACCAATTCAAGAAGCACAATCCCAAACCCATACACATCTCCTTTCAAAGATGCAACCATGGTGCTCGAATACTCAGGCGCCACATAACCTAACTCCCCCAAATCCCCATTATTGAACGAGCTATCGTTCGAATCACGAGATCCAACTAGCCTTGCCAAACCGTAATCGGTTATCCGAGCATCAAAATCGTCATCAAGAAGTATAACATTGGAGCTAATGAACTGATGCAAATACGGTGGTTGACATCCATGATGCAGCCAAGCTAACCCTTTAGCAGCTCCCACACCTATCGCAAGCCGAGTTGGCCAATCCAAAACAGCATCACACAATCCACCATTGTGCAACTGAGAAAACAACGTGCCATTAGGCATATGCTTATACACCAACAGTCTCTCATCTTCCACAACACAATAACCTAAAAGCGGCACCAAATTCGGATGTCTAAGCTCTCCTAACCTATTCATCTCCGACCTGAACTGTTTCTCACCAAAACCACAAGCACTAAGCCTCTTCACCGCAAGTGCAGAGCCATCAGGTAAATCCGCTTTATACGAAACCCCAGTCCTCGACGAAACATCCATATTCCCTGAACTAAAATTATTCGTAGCAGCCATTAAATCACCCAATTTAATCTTCACAATAGGTTTCTGAAACAAAGTCACCTGAACAAGCTTATGTGACCTCAACAAACCAATCCAATCACTATCATCCTTAGACTTCCCAGCACCATAACCTTTCTTCTTCCTACTACCTTCTCTAATAAAGAACCACCAAAATATCACTAAACCAACACACAAAGATCCAACAGCTCCAATAACTCCAGCAACTATAATAATACTCAGATTCCTCCCATTCAACGCTCCACATCTCGATAACGGCTTCCCGCAAAGTCCGTCATTCCCGCTAAAATCGTCTCCTCCGAACCGCGCCAGCTCAGACGGAATCGTACCGGAGAGATCATTACCAGCAAGAGAAAGACGTCGAAGCCGATCTAATCGACTCAACTGAGAAGGAATCGAACCAGAAAGCTTATTATCACTCAAAATCAAAGCGTTCAAGAACTTACACTCAACGATCTGAGTAGGAATCGAACCACCAAGCTTATTCCCAGATAGATCTAACGTAACGAGATAAGGAAGCCAAGAACAGATTTGAGAAGGAATCGAACCAGAGAGATCGTTTCCAGAGAGATCCAGAGATTGTAAACTACGACAAAGCTTAAGAGACTCAGGAATCTCACCGGCGAGCTGCATCGATTGAAGCTGAAGAGAAATAATCCGATTCTCTTTCTCGTTCCAGCAGGAAACACCAGTGAGCTTACAAATCGAAGAAGCTGAAGAGTTTGGGAAAGACCAGGAACTGAGTCTAGAAGAAGGATCGATGAGTGAGTTTTTCAAACCTTGGAGACAAAGAACGTCGTCTTCAGCTGAAGAAGAAGAACAGAGAAAGGAACTTATAAAGAGAAGCCATAAGAGTGTGATGAATATCTTCTTCATGATAATGGATGGATCTGGTTCTTCTTCTTAGGGTTTTTTCTTTGGTTAAAGGCTTAAAGCAGAGAGAGAGAGAGCTTCTATGGAGGAAGAAGAATGGTCATTGACTGTGTGATACTGTTGAGAGAAAAGAAAAGAAACTTTTTTTTTTTGCTCTTTTGACTATTTTTTTTTTTAGTAACTTAAGTGGAAATTAGTATTTATCTTTTGTTTTTGTGTTTGTTTGGGAAAAAAAGAATCTTCTTATAAACCGCCACCGTTTGGAAAAGCAGAGGATATATATAAAGTCAGTTTAGTAGTCTATGGCTCCCATTGGTGACAAAAAAAAAAAACAATAAAAACAAGAAAAAAAAGAATGAAAAAGAACAAAAAGGAAAGGAAAATGAAATCAAAAGGAACATAAGAATTGAACAAATAATTTTCGTAAATGGTAACCAAAAAATTGAACAAATATTTAACATAATAATTATTAAAAATTATGTATTTTATTTAGTTTATAAAATTTTATTTAAAATTAATTTTTTATTTTAATTTGAAACGAAATATAGTATAAATTCAAATATTTTATTTTAAAATAATATAAATTTCACTTGAAAGCATTTATTTATATATTTTAGTATAAATACTAATTTAAAAAAAGTCATAAGATTCATTTAAATTAAAGTTTTGATAAAATTTTTTTTATACATAAATATATAATAAAAATATAGGAATTATTTATGTATAAAAATGTAAATATTATCAAAAAAGCTATTTTAAAATTATTTAAAAATTAAAAACGAATTTAAAATTTTTGTTCCTTGTTGTTCCTCTACAATTTTGGGGAGGAACAATTTTGTTCTATCATTCTTTTTTTTTTGAGGAATGAAGAGGAAAAATGTAGGACCCACATGTCTGAAAATAGAACAAAAATTCATTATAAATGGTAAAAAAAATGAGGAACAAAAAGAACATGACATTCTTACTCATTCTTTTCCTCAAAATTGGTTACCAATCGGAGCCTATATGTTGCAATTGAAAGGGAAAGCTAATTTTTCAAAAAAGATAACATTTTTGGGTGAAGAATTTGTTTCATTTCATGTATTGATAGGTTTGCCTAAAATCAGCCATATAATTTTAGAACCATGATTCTTTCTTTAACTCAACATATCAATTGATTAAATTTAAGTTTATCCTCTATTGATAATGTGACTTAAATGGGAGTCTTTTTGTATGAAAGGTTGGTTGGCTGGTAATAATAATAAGTCACAAGAGTTTTGAACTTGTTATAAAGAAAAAGACAAAATATTTAAAAAAAAAAAAAAAAAACAGACATCACTGGAACAAAAATGTGATTCGGCCCATGGGCTTTTACACCACCTACTTTCAGCCCATATAAAAAAGCCAAGATAATAAGGTTCGCCAGTTTTTCATGCCTATATGGTAATGCGTAAATCATCTTTTGTAGTGGGAGACTCGAATTCAGAAGCTATTTGTTCTTATATATTTTTTTTTTGCTAAAAAGTTTTGTTCTTGTATTCTTCCTCACAACTTTTCTTATGGATAAAAATAGCAAGAATGGCATCAACCAAAGTACCAAACAAATGATCAAAAGACTTAAAACTCATAAGAACAAAAAAAAAAAAAAGGATTTTGCAGTGTTACCGAAATTTACATGTGGTAATCTCTAAGAAACAAAAGATTAGAAGCCATTTTCAATTCTCTCCCCCACCAATCAAAAAAAAAAAATGAAGTAACAAAAGAAGGAAATATTAATGTAGATTTCGTATGTATCCTTGTCAAATGTAAATAAAATGTACACCTGCTGCTGAATCAGAAACCAACTAAAAGTCATTCTTGTTGTTGCCTCTGCCACGGCAAATAACCAGTCACTTGATCAGCAAAATTTGACATAACCAAATCCTTCAATCCAGTATCCCACACTTCACAGAACCGTCGTTTCCAATCCGGCGGCTCGATTGCCTCTGTCCCGAGCCCTGGAGCTCGATCTTTAGACCCTTGATTCTGATTCTCTTGCCAGTCAACAACATAAGTAGCCACTCTTCTGTAAAACTTAGCTTTAAAAGTGTCCCAAACTTGGTACTTGTAATGGTTCACTACCGCAACACTCTCCATCAAACTCATATGCCCGACTCCTTCTTTCAACTGAAAATGATGAACTTCGTTGAGTAATGAGCTTGTGAGCAATTCAGGTCGGACTATCGACTTATGTCTCTCAGGGTTCGCTTGTCTACAAGTGTACCCTACGGTCACACCTTGTGATGGAACCGAGGTTAGACCGGACGGACCATAACTATGACAATCCGTTCGGATCTCTCCAACCAAATCCCAAGAAGTGTAGTTCGATACAAGCGACTTCAAAGCATTTTTGCTTGGTAAGCCTTGAGAGCGATGCGTAGGGAAGGAGTAGAACTCGTCAACATCAAAGAATCCAACCCAATTGCATTCTTCTTTCGCTCTAACCGCACAATGCGAAAAACCGGCTTCTTGAGTCTTGATCCAAGGCCAAACATGTCGACTCACATTGTAATTCTCCGAACTAAGCAACTCAATCTCCTCTTGTATACCATCATCGCTATTGTTATCATATATAAACCAACGTTCAACACCAAGCCACGAGTGATACATGATCCATTCACGCAAGAACGGAGCTTGGTTCCATAGCATTGTACAAACACAAAGCTCATGCTTAACCCCACTCTTCTTCTTCTCAATCGAATCAGAACCGTAGATTCTCGCAACGGAAGGCAGAGCAGGCGTCGTTCTTCCTCTAGGATCAATGTGAATTACACTCACTCGAAACATCATCTCTGGATTTAGCTTCAAACTCTCAGGCAAAACACACCTCACAACTTCTTGCGCTGCAGCAACAGCTTGAGTCACCTCTTTCTCCTCTGAATCCCCAATCTCAAATTGACATTTATAGTAAGAAGGATCTGATTCCTTGTGAGGTCTTCGAGTCAATCCTTTAACAAACACAACCACCGTGTCCCCGTCAATCACCGCCTCGTAACCAACTTTTTCCCAATTATGAACACGACAACGGCTCTGCTTCTCCTTCTTCATCTTCTTCACCAAATCTCCACGGAATTGCAACTCAACAGATGAAGAATAGTTCAAAGGAGCATTAGGGCATCGAACAATCGATCTAAACTCATCGAATTCATCACTAGAAATCGAGGGCAACACCAAAGTCTCTTCCTTTACTCCACGATAAACACAAGCTAGGTTTTTTTCACCTCTCCCAATTCCGTGCGAAAGAATCAGCAATAAATGGTCGGGAAATTGAACTCTGTCTTCAACACTCAACGCAGGGAATCTACCACCGTGAAACGAATCCATGGATGATGATAAAACAGAGAGAGCAGGAACACGAAGAGACGGTCTCAGAGAATCAGAACGAACAGAGAGTGTAGAGATTCGGTCGGAAGATAAGAAGAAGAGCAAGACGAAGAAACAGCAGCAGCATAAGATTAGATACCTTTGAGACAAGAACTGTCCTTTTACTTGTTGTTTGTTTCGTACTTTCCTCTTCTTCCCATTCTCATACTCCGTCATCTTCTTCAAGAAAAATTGAAACTTTTTTCTTCCTCTGGTTGTTAGAAACAGAACAAGGTTCTTGCTTGATAAACTGATCTAGAGAAGGCTTTACTTAGGGAGAAGAGATCTGGTTTTTGCGCCGGCCGACAAAAGTACCTTCTTCTTGTTCCTTTTCTTTAACAAAGATTAAAGAAAGGAAATATATAAGGAATTTTAATTACTTTACTTTGTGAAATAATTCGATTTTTGATTTGTTGAGATAAAAGAAGGAAAGAAACAAGGAAGACAGAGAGAGACGCGTTTTTTCTCATAATCTTGAAAGCCACCGAGATTAGTAGCACTAATCATCATTGTCTTACTTTTGGGTTGATTAAAAGTGATTAATTAAGGAGATTAAAGTGATTTTTGTATGGCTTTATGATTTGTGTTAGTTTAAATAATTAAGGGGAGAAAGAGGACACTAGTTTTGCGACTTGTGTCAAAAGATGCTACGTTGAGGTGGACCATAGAGTCTTTTGAATTTTTCATTTAATTTAATGTTTTGGGATTGAAGAAAAAAGAGAGACCTATGATTCTGTGACAGGTGTGTTGCGTTGCGTGGTCTTAGGCCATCACCATGGTGTAACACTGTTAATAAAACACCAAAAAATATATACTCCCTCCGTATGTAAATACATGTCGTTTTAACTGTAATTCCTTAAATTAAGGAAACATAAATAATGACACTTCTATCCTCACAAAAATTGACAAATTACAATGACGAACCAAAAAAAAAAGCTTCTTCTTTCTTCTCTTCGTGCAGAACAATGACGAACCCAAAATCTAGGGTTTTCTTCTCCCCAAATTCGTTTTTCTTCTGTCGGGTGTTCTCAATCGCTTCTCTTCACCAACTTTTTCTCTGGTTTTGTTCAATTCTGATTTTTTTTCAAGTCAATTTCTCTTCTCGGAACTCTGCAAAAGCGTTATCGATTAATTCCACTTCAGGGTTTTGATTTTTATAAAGTTGGAAGAGAGCTTGGGTTTTGGTCTCCGTTACAGACAACACATATGACGGAGAAGCGGCGACGGCGGTAGTGACAGAGAAGCGGCGACGGCGGTAGTGACGGAGAAGCGGCGACGGCGGTAGTGACGGAGAAGCGGCGGTCAGAAATTGGAGGAAGTGGAAGACGGAGATTGAGCTGACGACGTTCACGAACCAAAAGCAGAGTTTACTTTGGTGAGTTTTTCCCCAAATTTTTGTTTCATTTTAACATTTTCATAATCAGATGATCATTTTCACAAGCTCTCACTGAATCAGCTCCATGGCAACATTTGATTAAAACAAGATCATTTTTCAACTCCATGGCTACGTTGAATCTAAATCTTTCACCTAATGAAATTCATTCTTTTGATTTAAACGCAGATCTTGGAGAAGAACATGATGCCGAAGAACCCCTCTGATGGAGAAGAAGGTACTTATGCTCTTAGACTACACTCCTAAGCTTCATTGAGCTGTTGGAGAAGAACATGATGCCGAAGAACCCCTCTGATGGAGAAGAAGGTACTTATGCTCTTAGACTACACTCCTAAGCTTCATTGAGCTGTTAGAGAGCTCATTTAAGATGGTTTAGGCTTGACAACGAACCTACACGTTTTGCTTCTGTTTGTATGGCATGGTGATTGTGTTATCATACACTGAAACTTCTCGTAAATCAAATGTGATCCTTCCACTGTAAACAATGTTTTAAATCAATTAAGAGACTAAGGTTAGCTATCGAATTGATAAGGTTTCAATTCTGTTAATAATGTTTTACTTTCAATCATGTGTGTTTGTTTGTTTTTCTGTCTCAGGTACGTTGGTGTGTCTGTTCTAGTTGTTTAGACTCTGTTCGAACTAAGGAACCATGAAAAGTGATTCGTCTACTGGTTTACTTCATCCTTCATAAAGAGATTAAATTTGTTTAGGTTCATGTGATATACAGAGAAAAAGCCGATTCAAAATCCGACGGAGCAATTAAGAATTTCTTGACAGTCTCAAAAGGATTATTAGGTCAGATTTCTTTGTTTTGGTATCTTCCTTAGCTCACTCTAGAATTATAAGCCGAGTCTCAAAAGGATTAAGGGTAATTTGGGTATAATTAGGCAAATATTACTTAAACGACATGTATTTACAAACATAAAGATTTGACTAAAACGACATGTATTTACATACGGAGGGAGTATTATTTTATTTGTATTTTGATTTATATACTTTAATGAAATTATTATTTATCAACTAAAAATCAAATATACCATCAATTTTTGTATGTTTTTATTTTTAATAATATGTACTTTAAAGTATAATTAATATGAATAATAATTTATACATAATATTTAAGGAAATACTAAATTAATTAAAACTGAAAATACTTATTAAAGTGCAATTAAATACTAAAAATATAAATTTACAAAATTAAAACCAAACAAATACAAAAACTAAATGCAATAAGATAATTTTAAACGACGTAATATAAATTTAAATAACAATCTAAAACCCGGGAAAATTATTTCCGCTAAGATAATTATAATACTGAGTGAAATCTCGTTGGCCACTTGGTGATCTTTGATCTTCACCTTGAGGTTGTTGTCTTTGAACATGTTCTTCTTGAGTTAGATCTCTTGGTGCAACAATTGAAGAAAGAGTCGAAGTTCCAACGGTAGAAATTGAAATGGCGGGCGACGATGATGCTCGATTTCAAGAATTTTTAGCTCGACACAGGCAAATCAAAGACCGGGAAGCTCATATTGAATTTCGAAATGCATTAATTGAGCACTTGTGAACGGAATATACTAATTCTGAGAATTAGTACAATGTAATTTATTTTCTGTTATTTTAATTTATCGATTGTAATCTTATATTACTTAAATTAAAATAAATCAGTTATAAAAATTATTAGTATTTATCAAACTATTAAAAAATAGTGAAAATCTAAAGTTTAATAATTTAATAATACTAAATTTATTTTTGGTGTGAGATTTGGTGTTGATGGTTGGAGATGAAAAAAAAAGTAGTACACCAAAACACCAAATTTGGTGTTAAAATTTGGTGTTTTGGTGTATTGTTGTTGGAGTTGCTCTTATAGTTTTACGGCTAATAATAATTGTTTTTCAAGATTCGCTGGATGATGAGGAGGAGGACCAAACTTGTTGGTACGATTATACTATAAGACTGTAAGTAATTAAGGCTGCTAATGCGTGCAGCAACACGATTCGTCGGTGTAGAATAAGTATGGTTGATTAGTTTAATTTGGTTGTACAAGAAAAAAACTTAACAATAATATAAAAGCGTTGAATGATGACATCAAAGATGAAATGAATTGAACCTGATTAGATAGAACTGTTTACATCTATATATTATTCAGTATTCACTAAAGAATTGTTAAGGAACTGACATCTTGCTTAATTCAATTGGTCAAACAAAATCTTGTGAACATGTTTTGTCACTACCAAGCATGTTTGACGAGAAACTCTTTCCAATATTTAAAACTTTCAACTAGTTATATTATTTTCTTTTTGAATGGTTAGTTATTTAACGTAAAAAGATATGTTATATTAGTAATCTTTAGCTCTTAAATTGATGATATGATCAGCATCTTACAATTAGTTTATCCGTCGTATTACAATGTAGGTCTTGATGAATGTGACTCTGAAGGCGATTTTGCTGCTCTTCATCCATATTGCGTTGCCGACCTCAAAAGTTGGTTCATTCAATCGGTGAGTTTGATTAGGAATCATATAAATTTTTTGCTAAGGGTATAGTAGTAAATAATAATTTTTATTGCTTAGCTTGTCCTTTTTTTTTTTTTTTACATTTTTGGATCGACAAGGTCCGGTCCATAGCCAATCCCTACGCGATTTAATGGAGTCGAACTCCGGTGGGGAAGGCGGAGTCAAGTGGACTTAACCATTTGACTAAAGGCACATCCCCGCTTAGCTTGTCCTTTATAACCGACTTCTAGTATTTTTCCCATTTCTTTTTTTAAGCTATTATTGAGTTTGATAGGTGTGTCTTGTGTAATTATTGTGATTGTTATGGATTTTGTAAGTTATACATAAAATACATGTATCATAAATATATGTTTTTAATATAATAAAATTATTGTGATTGTTATGGATTTTGTGATAGTCTTTGTGAAATTATTGTGATTGTTATCGATTTTGTTAGTTATAAATAAATAATATATGATAAAAAAATTTAAAAGGACAAAAGAAAAAGAGAATGCGATGAATTATTTATCGATCCCAATTAAATATGTATGTTTTGGTTAGCCAATTAAATATATGTTGCAAACTAAGGTAATTAAGTAAACATGGTTGTGTGACTGGAGTTGTTTTTTATTAATTATATATTTATCGATTTTGTAATGAGTCGTAATTTACGCAGTTTAATATGAAATAAGAAAACCTTATTTTGGTTGATTTTCTAATGAGTTCTATTAAAAAAATAGTATAGTTTTTACCGTAATTTAATTTATTTCCTATGTAAACAATATTTTTTCTGATTGGTCTGTTATGATCCATTAATATAAGTAATTTACGCTGTTGACAACAAGAACAACGAAACAAAAAAAAAAAAAAAATCAATTCTGTAATGAGTCATATCATAGAAAAAGATTAGGCCAAAACTGGAAATGAGGAACGTGGAGATTAGGTATAGAGTTTTATAGGATAGTGGGAAGTTGATGTGTACATTGCTTCAAATCGCTGGATTCATGTTCCTTTGTTCTCGCCCCCATTTTCTTTTATTTATAAATTCCAACTAATGCATGATTCTAATGATAAGAAAAAGAAAAGAAAAAAATGTGCCTTCCATTACAATTATACATCCATCATTTTTATTACCTTTCATGTTTGTTATTCTTGTTTGGCTCTGGTTTTCTGAATAATTTCAATAAAACCTGCAGCTACAATTCTTCTTTCCGTTTCCCATACTTTATTTTGGTTGTTTATTTATATTTATATCTTCGTAGCATACAAAACTTTGAACTTGTTCATCTACGACATAAACATGTTATTATTCACAATGAGTCAAGTCAAACAACGCCTAACAAAATCAAACTATATGTATTACATTACTACCTAACCCTCGGGGCAGTGCCGGCCCGATCAATTTGGGTGTCCTAAGCAAAATTAAAGCCCATAATTTTTTTTTTTTAAAATTAGATTTTTACCCTTAAAAAATGTTGTAGTTGTCTCTAAAAACCCACAATATTTTTAAAAGGCCCTACAAAAATTATTGTATATAAAAAAACTTAACAAATTTTTAGGTAAAAAGGCCCTCAAAATTTTGAGACCCTAATCGGTGGCTTCACTGGCTTGCCCTCTCCGCCGGGCCTGCCTCGGGGTATAAATGTTGACGCCGTCGTATACATGCATGATGACTTCCAAAACACTTTAAGTCTCGACTCTACGTGAAATAGTGTTGAGGATGAACTCCCAATGCATTTTATTTTATTTTTTGGTTTAACTACCAAACAACCATTTTCACAATGTTGTAAACTTTCAAGGCTCGAAGTAATCAGATCGATCAATGGTTCTGTACTTCTGTTGGGTTTATTTAAAACCCAATAGGTCTCAAAATTTTCAAAATACCACTAATTAGGATTTAACCCGCGGTACACCGCGGGACAAAATTGTATTTTATATAATAATTTCTAATTTAATAGATTTTTAAATTGATATTATAAAAGAAATTCTCATTTAATTATTTTATATTATAATTAATATAGTTGAAATATGTGTACTTAGAAGATTTGTACGTGTAGAAATGATATAGTGTTATTATTGGCAAGCATTTATAATCATGGACTATTATAATAATTTGATATTATTTTGTATCAAAACAATTTACCCCGCGGTATATTGCGGGTCGATTATTTTAAACTAAAAATTTTAAATTTTAAGTTATATTTGTTTTGTTAATATTGTTTGATTTGTTTAGTATTTAAGATTATATAATTATATTTTTATTTTTAATTCTAGGTTTCACCCGTGGTATACCGTTCCGTATTAATATCGACTCAAACCCATCCTACCATATAACCTCCTTTTGTATTCAGAATCATTTTTGTCCTTTTTATAGTATGACTCTGAACTATTGCCCAATTTTTTAAGTAATGTGGGACATTATACACATATTTTTTCTTCATCGATTGAGTAATATATGTCCGTTTTAAAATTTTTGAATCACATCATATGCAGAAAAAATCTATTATTTTATTAATTATATGTATTTTATATAAATTCAAAATAAATTACTATAAAATCATATAAAAGTGAAAGAAAAATCATATATTAATGTTTAAATTAAGTAGAGATGTTTTAGGAAAATTAAGAAACAAAATCAATTTGTTGCCATATTTGGAATCCATAGTTTCTAAAATATTTTTTCGAAAATATTTTGTAATACTCCCTCCGTTTCGTTTTAGTTGTCGTTTTAGGACTTAAATTTTGTTTCGTTTTAGTTATCGTTTTAGGTTTTCAATGCAAATGTTTGGTAAAAATTCCAGTATTATCCCTATTGTTTTAAGGGAAAAAACCCGAAAAACCGTCATCTATTTTTTATTTGACCGTTTAATACCTCGGTTTATTTTTTTGGAATAAAAATACCTTAAATATTTATAGTTGCTAAAAAAATACCTCATCTTTTAATTGTTGGTAGACTCCAACTCACAACTTAACATCCGTTAACGGACGTTACAAAATTATTTAACGGTGTTAAATTTTAACCTTACGTATTTATACTGATACATATTATCCGATGTATACTATTCCTGTTATGCTGTCCTCGTCTAGTGGCAATGCGTTTGCTTTGTAAGTCTCGATTCCTGGGTTCGAAACTCCAACATTTGCTCTCATTTTTTTTATTTTTTATTTTTTTTTTCTGTGTCTTCCTCGACAGCCATGAAACCCTAGCCGCCGACCACCATGAATCGTCCACCTCTTTTGCTTTCCTTGCCTCCTCCGCCTCTTTTTCTTTTTGATTTGATTGGATCCACATGTGATGATGCTCATGAATTGTTTCGATGATGATGATGCTCATGAAGGTTCGATGGATTTCTTTATAACAGAACATGTGATTTAAGTAAAAACCTTCCCACAATCAACAAAATTAAATAGATCAGATGTTTTCGGTGGCTAGGACACAGAAAGCAGCGACGGAGTAATCGCCATCGGAGAGGAAGAAGTCGCCGTCACCATCGGTGAAGAAGACAAAGAACACACAAAAATTGAAAAAAAAATATCAAAAAACTAAATTTGGAGACTCGAATCCGGGTCCTATGGTTTACTTATCCCATGCGTTGCCACTAGACGAGGACAATATAACAGAAATGTCCTACAAAAGGATAGTATATAACAGTATAAAAACATAAAGTTATAATTTAACACCGTTAAATGATTTCGTAACGTCCGTTAATAAGTCGTGAGTTGGAGTCTACCAACAATTAAAAGATGATGTATTTTCTTAGCAACTATAAATATTTAAGGTATTTTCATTCCAAATAAATAAATCGAGGTATTAAACGGCCAAATAAAAAATAGATAAGGGTTTTTTCGGGTTTTTTCGGGTTTTTTCCCATTGTTTTAATGTTGTGGCCAAAGAATTTTTTTATAAAATATATTAATAAAGGATAAAACAGAAAATTTAATGTTTTTCTTAATTTGTGTGAAAAAACTTTAAACGACAACTAAAACGAAACGGAGAGAGTATTAATTAATAGATAAACATTTATGACAATAGCATTCTCTTGTAAATAAGTTTAAACTCTACGATTTATTTCATATTTGTACTTCAAAAATGTATATATAGATTTATGCATATAGTGAAAAAATACAATCAACTTTTGTGCTTTTTAAATAAAAATACCACTTGCTAGTTGCAACATACAAATCGACCAAATTACTTTCATAATTAGTTGAAAATTGAGAAAAAAATGAAATGCACAAATGGAACTTGAAGCTCCAAAAACTTAATCGCGCAAATTAAGAAAGCAAAGGAGAATGGGCTATTAAGAAGATGCAATCCACTAACTATAAAGAACTCATAATCGTAAACATTTGGAAAATGAACTTCTGATTTAAAACGATATGAAATCATCGGCAAAGGAGTTTCAATTTTTTTCTGTACCACATTGGCAAAACCCGATAAATGATTCTGGAATTCAAACGTCACAAAATTCAACAACGATTGGGTCACAGGTACAACCCAAGTCAATCTTCAACCTTGGGCCCAATGGGGCGGCCTAAAAAGTATCTACCGAGAGACAATCAAACCACGTGCGCAAACCACGATAGGATATTTTGCATACAAACCAAAAGAAATCCAGCTGACTCCTTAGTTTGTTGACTTATGCGGTTATGTACCCTTACGACGAATATACCAATAAATAGTGAAAAACTAAACTAATCAAACCGAGTGTAAAAGAAATAGAATTGAACCAAGTATTTTATTCAAGAACACTTTTAGTCTGATGTGGTCTACTTCACTTTCATATCCTAAGCACAAGCAAAGATGTAATATCAATACCAAGTTCATGAGCACTAGAAGGATACTAATTTTGCTTATTTGGGTCTCTGGTCCAAGGAGAATACTAGCCAAAAGTCCTTAATATGGGATGAATGTTCTTGTACATGATAATTATTCAAAACTAGTATTACGACCCGTGCTATAACACGGCATAGTTTTGTATTATCAAAACTATTTTTACTAAATTAAATTGTTACTTTTTTATTAAATTCTAATATGGACCTAACAAAAAATCCCAATATAATTTCTAAATATGTAAAACAATCAATCATTATATTATCATAAATTTGAGAAAAATCCAAAAAACTATTTATAAAAAAAAGGAAACAACAAAATCAAAGGAAGGTTAATGGACCTGATCGGTTTAGAGAGAAATAGTGAGGAAGTTAAAGAAGGATCATGGAAAGATTTTTCTTCATGATCGTGGGGGAGTTAAATTAGGAATCTTTTTTCTGTTTAAGGATTTATGGAATTACGTAGCTAATGTTAATTGGTAGTTACTTTTGTTAAAACATTCAATTCGATTTTTTTGTTCTCTTTTCCTTTTTTTTTAATCCTTTTAGCATTGAACATTAAAAAAATAAATTAATTAACCTATATTTGTGATGATATGTCACATTTTTATTGGTCAGGTGACTTGTGATTTATAATATAAAGGATTTGCGGCCACCGGATTTGCCAAGTGATTAAATGATCCCTTGAATGTTCTCTTGTATTTTGGTCTCTATTTTTTTGAAATTAGGTTCGTCCATTGAAACGCGGGCCCTAAACCTGAAACCAATGCAGGACTTTTGTGGTAGTCATGTTTTTTACCTACCTTATCTTATCACTATTTATTACTATGAAATTCGTTTTTTGTATCAGACCGTCATAAGGAATAGGACTATAGGAGTGGTAGGCAATAATTTCTGACACTGACTTATGGAGTCTAATGTAGTCGTATCTGTATTGTCCTCATTCTTCTTATATAGCAGCAACCAATAATTCTTTTCTTCCCAAAAGATTTACAATACAGATCAGAGTAACACAAAACAGTCATACAAATCTTTACATCATGGTTTTGTCATAACTCTCTAATGCTCACATTACCATAATTATCAGATCTATTCACATGCATTTTTATCTTTTGAAACTCTATTGGTTCACTCAGCTGATTAAATTATTGAAGCTTAACTTAAACATGTGCGAGAGATTTGAAAACTCAAACAAGCGGTGTGAAGCAAAACATCGAATCTGAGATTTTTCGCTTTTCATTTTCAGCTTCTTGAGTTAGTGTCTGGTCAGCTTCTATTTGTGCTTCAATCTTCTCAAAAATTTGAATCACTCTTTTCCTCTTTCGCTTCAAGTAGATAATCTGAAAAGTGAAAACGCAAAGCTAACCTATAGAACCATGTTTTATAAGCTAAAGGAAACAAAGATTGTTTTTTTTCTTTACTAAAAGATGGTTTTACCTGGTTGTTGGTTTCTGTAGTGTTGTGTGCATAGAGTCTTGGAACTGGTCTCTTGGTGATCTCTTTTGAAAAACTGAACCTCCTCTTTGACCATTGTTTGCATCTGTTGATTCTCGCATTCCCTGGTCGTACGCAGCCATTTCACTTGCTGTGTTTCTAATCCGTGGTCTCTCCTCGGTTTTCCTCCAGAACTTGGGACTTAAGAACTCTGTACCAGGTAGTTTGGAACAACTGTCTCCTGCACAGCTACTACTATTCCTAGGAACTCTCCCGTTTGAAACCCCCAGATCGCTTGATATTTCATCTAACGCCATCTCTAGACCGCTTACACGAGACTCCAGAGACTGGATGCCACTCTGTGAGGTTCCCATGAATTTCTACATCCAAAATAAAGAAATATCATTAAGGATTGAGCCATCTACAACATTCATAACCAAACAATTCATCTACTTTAAAAGACACTATGCTTATGAAGACCAACTGTATGTATACCTGTAGTAAGTCTAAGAGACTGGACTGTTGGTTCTCAATCAGAGCAAGCTGTTCCCGTATTAAAGACAGTTCCTCACTATCTTTCTTGCTCTCTTCAACATCATCTTTACAGTTCTTGACTACAGAATCACAAGAATCACCATCATCATTACAAGGTGCAACCCTTGAGCCAGACCTCAAACCACCAAAGCTCGATACTTTACTATCTTCCCGGCTTTTCTCAGAGATAGTATGTTTGATTATATCTGGTCCCCCTGAGTTATCCTTCTCTTCCGATTCTTCCGAAGATTTCTTTACCGGCGTAAATTGTGGTCCCTTGTTATCCACACTAGAGGCTTCTGCTAACATGGTCATATTCCCTTGATTTCTTTTTGGAAGATTTTCTTTTTGTCTAGTTGCTGCATATGATCTATTCACAGGCAAAGATGGGGACCTCTTCATTATAGGCGTTACTTTCTTTGGTCTAGCGGATTTTAAACCAACGTCAATGGTGGAACTTCTCGTGACTGAAGAGAAGCATCCAATGCTACCATCATCTAAAACCACATTTGTAGAATTCAAGATATCAAATTCAAGTTCAAATTGTATTGAGACTACAAAGTAATGACTACTACTTACCTGTTGAAGATCTTGATGGAGATAAAGAAGCTTCTTCATCATTTGAAACTTCCTTCCATAGATTCAATGCTCGATTCATAGTTTCTCTAACACTTTTCACCTACATTGTGAATCCACCAAATGTCAAAATCTGATTTAAGATTCTCATTGAACAACAAAAACAAAACTTTAGTCTCTCTTTTTTTGTTACCTTATCAAATCTTCTACTCTCAAGAGCCGTCGTGCAAGTCTTCTTATACTGTGACGCCAAATCTTCCGCCGTCGCAACTTTACTCAACGCCTCCGCCGCAGACTTCCTCGCCGCCCAATCCTCACTACTCAAAAACTCAATCAAAACCGGAACTAACCAATCCAAAACCGGTTTAGTTCCCGCACCACCGGCGTTAATAATACTCCCGACGGCGCTCAACAACGCAGCTTTAGCCTTGAAACCATCACTCTTAAGCAATTTCCCAATCTTAGGCAACGATTTCCTCAACTGCTCCGATTCCGGATCCGTCGCCGCATCAACAGACGCAGCTAAACACAACGCCGCTCCGATCTGCAAATTCGAATCACCTTCCTGAATCAACGTCTCAATCAACGGCTTCGCGACGGAAGCAAACGGCTGCCTCGTAACATGAGCCGACATATCCGCCGTCGCGACGGCGCAAGCAGAGCGAACTGAGGAATCCGGATCTCGGAGACGGCGGATTACAGTTGAAACCATCTTAGCAAGGTGAGGCGTGAGAGAATCGCCGTGGTAACGAGAAAGAACCGATAAGAGAGCA